GACAAATTATAGTTTATATATTTAGAAAGGAAGTTTTAGAATGTTGGAAAGTATGAAACAAACTTCAATGCAAGTATCACAACACTCTAATTGTATAGTTGTTTTGGATAAAAGGGAAAACCTCCTTAAAAATGTGAACTTTTCCATAAAATTCATTCTATTATAGTAATATGTAGGCTACTAGTATAGTAGTTAAGCACATCAGCTCTAGACTCAGACTTCCAAAGTGAAAAATCCTTGTTATATCATTTATTAGCTGTATATCCTTGAGGAAGTTACTTAACTCTCTGTGGTTTATTTTTTTTTTTCCCCAATCTGGAAAGTAAGGATAATTATAGTACCTACCTCATGAGGTCATTGTGAGAATTAAATATGACAATCCATGTAAAGCCCCTCACATAGCTAGACTCAGTAGATGATAGCTATTTTTGTTGTATATTTCCGATTATTCATGTTTATGTTTGTGGAATTATCTAGATAATACAAATCTCAGAATAAACAATGATATGTATTACACAATTTTCTTGGACAAAGGAATACCTGGATGAAAAATAGAAACAATTTTCTGTTCCTAAAACAAAACTGTGATTAATGATTAAAATGTCAAGGAACCAAAGTACCTTACTTAGTTTACTGGTAGTAAATTTCTGAGTTTGGAAGGTTAATTAACTCTTTCAGAGCCTTAGAGGATAATAGCATACTTGAAGTTATGCATTTCATTTGAAGCATACTTAAAGGCACAGTACTAGCTCAAAAAGGATAACATGACACCCATACTTTTTACCACCTAAAAGTGGAATATAGATTTAAATTTTTATTATAAGGAGTAATCTTACTTTTATTGTGGGTTGAATTTCTGGAAAATATGAAAAAAACATATGTAAAAAGAAACATTTTCTCATAGAAGCTATTTTATAACAGGGGAGTTAAATTTTAAAGCAAAAATCTGAGACTTAATATTTTTATAGAAATGATCTCAGATTTTTAAGGGTGATCTATTAAATCAGTGACAAATGTTATACCTATACTCTATGCTAGTATTTAAAGTTTTCTTAAACAGCATAACAAATCATTCCTAAACTACATTTCACTTCATATACATTATTGTAAAAGGTATTATATTTCTCCCATTTTTGGTGAATTTTCTTCCCATTTTTACCAAAACTATTAGAAGGTAAATAGTCTTTCATCAGTGTTACGAGATTCTGAATGGGTTCTATGTAGATTTTTTTAGATTTTAAAATATTTTGTTATTTTTAATTCTTATGGATACATATTACTTGTACGTATTTATGGGATACATGTGATATTTTGATACAAGCATACAATATATAATAATCAAATTAGAAATAAAATCCTGTCATTTGCAACAACATGGATGGAATTTGAAGACTTTATGTTAAGTGAAATAAGTCAGGCACAGAAAGACAAATATCACATGATTGCATGGTCTCATTCATATATGAGAACTAAAAAATAATTGAACTCATAGAAATAGAGAGTAGAATCATGGTTACCAGAGGCTGGGAAATGTAGAGGGGGGCGGGGGCAGAGTTAATGGGTATAAATTACGGTTAGATAGAAGGAAAAAAATCTAGTGTTTGGTAGCACAATAGGGCAGCTACAGTTAATAATTTATTGTATATTTTAAAATAACAAAAAGAATGGAACTGGAATGTTGCTAACAAAAATGATAAATGGTTCTGTGTAGATTCTGACAGCTGTCTTGCAGAGATTTGTGAGCAATGTAGGACTTTAGTGTTAACTTTTTGAAAAACCGATTGAAGGGTATATATTTTGCTGTCCTATTTGTCTCATATCATGTCCCTGTGACAAGCATAGGGATAGCTATTAAAATTGTTGTTTATTGTAATACTTTAAAGCAGTCTCACTGATTTTTTGAGCTGCTAACTCATTAGCTCAAGCACTGTCATCTTTCCCCATCATTATGTCAGGTATTTCAGCCTTTAAAATTCAAGAACCAACCATTGCTTACTTTAATGTTTTTATCTTTTTTCTCTCACCACAGTAGGGATTCACATGTCCAGAAAGCTCAAAGATTCCACTTAAATAGTGGTCAAAATGAAAGGTACATAGTTTAATTTGCCCATGATTCCACAAATCCTGTGCTTGAAACACTACTTCATGTCAACAACTTGAAAGGAAGGAATATGAAGTGTGACTCTTGAGAACTGAGGTTCCATTTCTCCACAAACATTGCAGGATGTGTAGTTCCAAATGGGCTTCTTTCAAAGTCATCCCCTTGAGTCATTCTGATAATGATGCCATTAACTTCAAGCACATCTGGAAACCCTCTTTAGGCAGTGCCTTCAGGTCAAGGTTAATAAAGTACAAGAAAACCAGTTTCACGGCTTTATAATTACAGATTCCCTCCCTTTCCAGAAATATTGTTCTTTTTTAAAAATTCCTACTTTTTCCATTGTCCCTTCTTCTTCTTCCAGAGCCAGTCTGTTCAAATAGATATTCTGAGAACTACTACCTCCCTCTCCTCCCTGCACACCAAAAGTCTATGCTATTTAAACTGCAGACATAAAATATGAAAGTGATGAGTTGAGCTTCATAAATACCAACATGAGAGGCTGAAGTATCATTTGCATTCAAATTCTCCCTAATGGTTCTAAAACAACACCCATAACCTTTGTAAAAATTAAGATAAGGAGATTGCCAGAAGGAGAACACCCACTTTTCTCTCATTTCCTCATGATGTGATAATATTTTCTTTTTCTAATGAAATTCATAAATTCTGCTCACAGAAAAGCTTATTAAAAGTCTCTGAAACACAAATTTGTTCAGTTATGTGTAGAGATGTTTAAGAAAAAAAAAGGCATTAGGTGAACTCCAAAAGAACTAATAAACTTTACAGAATGTTCATCATTCAATTTTACAGCTTTCTTTCTTTCATCTATTCATGGGATTTATATTACCTGCATTAAAACTTAAAATATATTTTATGAGAAATAATGAGCTATCTGAATTTCCTATGCCCCTTATCATCAAGACTCTGTAGATTGAAACAATATTAGGATAATATATCTATTTATCATTTGAGACTTGGCAGATTGAAGCCTGACATGTCAAACCCACAACCTACAGATTTTTTTTCAGATAATTACAGGCTAATAACATTGAAATGGCCTTGGTCTCATGTAGCTTAGCTTGAGGCTGTGTCTTCATCATTGAAGGTAAGTCTAGTATATACTTAATAAATGTGACAACACAAACAAGGAAATAAGCATATGTGGTGTGTACTGGACAAATTGTGGCTTACTACTGTTTATCCCAAGGCAAGTTGCTTAACTTCTCTGAGGTTCCATTTATTTATTTGTGTTAGAAACTTTCACAGTTTTATTAGAAAAACCAGGTGAGATGTTATATGTGAAAGTACTTAACAAAGTGGCAACCCAGAACACAATAGACATCCAATAAATTTTCCATAAATGAATGAATTCCCATGCCCTTTCTTCTGTAACAGGTGTGTGGTCCTCAAATTTATGCACGTATTTCCTCAATTCTTCATGCGCCCTTCCCTGTGCATTTTTCTGTTAGAAAGATTGGAGATTTTTACTCTCATTCAGAAATAAAGGCCTTCATATGGAAGAAATTTATTTTTACGTGTTAGAAAGAATTCATGTATTTATTGTATCTTAGTAACAATATACTATTTACTGAAGAAATTTTTAAGATACAGTATCCAACTTCTATTTGGTTGGAAACATCTGTAAAAACTTGATCTAGGTCTGTTTAATAAGAAAATGCCTTGAATTTCACAGAGGAAGCAGGTAAATCCCATCTTCCATTCATGTCCCACATTTTTCACACTCTGTCTTCACTATCACACCCCTATGACCACGACTATCACAAAAGAAAACACATATTTCTGTTGTTTCCAAGGTTCAATGAAAGAAATTGTCTGGATGGTAATTCTGGCCTTTGGAAAATGCCAATGAATGTAGGTAAACCAAGTCATAATTGAAGAGTTATTTTAGCCAGTCATTGATGACCCACTCTCCCTGCTCATGAGGCGGGAACGGGTCACAGAGCTGCCATGGCGGGATATTTGGTCACGAAACTCTGAGGCCATGAAGTAATAGAGAATTGGATCCAAAAGGCAGCAGAGACTTGCAAGGCACAGACAAAAAGGGTGGAAATACAGCGTGCTTCGGACAATGGGACAACTGCTAATGATGGTTTCCTTTACCATGGTATAAAAAACAAAGTTAATATGATAGGGACTGAAACAGATGAAGAAGACTGCAGCACACATGAAAACCATCCTCAGTGCTTTCTGCCTCTCATTGATCCCTTGGAAAGCCATTGGCGGCTGTCTCAAGGATATAGTGGTTTTCCAGGTACACCATGCGATGATGGTCACTGGGATCACAAATCCTGCAAGCTCAGCAACTGTAATCATCCCAACCAAAGCCACTGCATTCATTTGCTTGTAACCAAGATCAGCAAAGCAGGACTTGGTGCTGTTGGCTAAGTCTGTGCTTCTCAGGATGGGAAATGGCAAACAGGCAGTCCCCACGATGACCCAGATTGCAGCACTAATGCCCACATCATATCTACGTTTCCAGTCTCTGGCCCTGAAGGGCTTGAGCAGAAAGAAGCACCTCTGAAGACTGATGCATGTCAGGAAGCAAATGCTGGCATACATGTTGAGATACTTCAGGTAGAAGCACAGTAGGCAAAGGGCCCTCTGGAAAGGCCAGTGGTGGCTGATGTAATAGTAAATCCGGAGGGGTAAGGACAGCACGTGAGCAAGGTCAGCCACAGAGAGGTTGATCATGAAAATGATGGCTTTATTTTTCTTGCTGATGAAGCGACATAGAACCCACAAGGCCATGGTGTTGGCCAGAAGACCAGGGATGAAAATCAGGATGTAGGTGGTTGCATAGAGGGAGTACTGAAATGTCATATTAGGGACATTGCAGTCAGTCTGAGAGATGCTGGTACTGTTGCTGCCCATCTTGAATGTTTCAGTATGTTCATCGAGGTAAGCCATAGAGTTATGATCCCTGCCCAAAGCAAAGGAAAAAAAATTATAATGGTTAACTGGTTCTTTAGCTAACATGCGTATCTCTCTTTTATATTCACAGAGACATAGAATATTAGAATTAGAAGGGACCTGTTTAGATGGAGAAGGAGAGGCTCAAAGAAGACATATTACTGATCCAAGGTCACCCAATAAATCAGTCAGGGAATGATAGAATTGTCCCTCAACTGCCCTTCAAGGTACTCTAAGTTGTGTCTTGCAGGCAAGGGTGTGTTGAAATATTCAGTATCTTGCTCTCACCACTGCAAAAACAGTATAGTATTTGAGTATATTTATTTTGTCTCCAAAATTGTCTTGCCCAAAGCTCTGCTTAGAGTGAATACTGCTCACTCACTCCCAATTTCAATGGTTGAAATTCATCCTCACCTTTTAGGTCTTCTTGACTCTTCTTTGTCTACCACCTTGACCACTGGGTGCTGACTTCCTACCTTGGCACCCCAGCACTTAGAAAATGGCCCTTCCTCCTTGAGCCTGCATTGCCAGTGTCCTGGCTGATTTTCAGGACCTGGGAATGTAGCTTCCTTATTATTCTGTCATAATAACTTGTGACTCTGAGCTTCTCCTACAGTTTGTCTCTCTCCCTTGTCTTGGGTCTCATTCCAAATTTACATGAAAAACATCAATAGTATATGAATTCAGATGAACTAGGATATTTCTCTTCATGTCATCTTGAAAGGAAAGAGACCAATTCTACCTCTAAAAGAAATCCTATACTGGTGTGGCAACATTGGCATGGCAGATTATCCAACTACCACAATGAACATTGCTTAAGACTCCAGCAAAACAGAAACACCAAAACCATTTTTTGGAAACAACTGAAGATTTAATGTTTTTTATCTATCAAAGTAATTATTATAAGAAGAAAACTTTTTGGACTTCCTTAATCATATTTTATGCTTTAGTATGCTTTTTATTACATATTATATTAAGACACAGGAAAAGTAGAGTAATCTTTACAGCTGTTCAGGGCCTGGTCATGGAGTTAAGCAGATTGCCTGAAGATAAGAATGGTGGGAGAGCACCAGACTCATTATTTTGCTTTAACTATCTTGTAGAATTGCAGACTGGGAAAGACATTTGGAAATCACCTAGTTCAGCCTCCACATGATATAGATAGAAGAAGCAAGGCCTAGAGAGAACAGTTTGTTATGGCCACACAGTGATTAAATGGATGATCTGGGGCTGAAATGGGAGGACAAGGTACCTAGTCTTCACACACACCCTTCTCCCCATCTTTGCATTCCTCCCAAATTGTACAAACATAACTTCTGTGTATATTGTAGAAATATTTATTTCGAGCTGGAAATTTAAGAAATAAAGCCATACAATTGTCCCTCAAATGGGGTAAGGGTTTTTGTTGTTATTGATTTTATTTTGTTTGGTTTTAAGTAAGTTTATAAAAACAAAGGAGTGACCTGGTTTTAGATTCTCCTTATAAGTAGAATGGCTTCCTATATCATGTTAAGACCTGCTCTAGGAAATAGAGATGTGATAAAAGAACAGAATTTACAGATAAAAGAGTGTCTGTGTTATGAGTTTCCATTACTCTAAAGGCTACTTTCACTTTTCATCCTCTTCTATTCCATCTCCCTATTCGGCTTATCATGTGTGATATGTCTTAAAGAGCCATGCAGTCATCTTGCATATGTATGTGTGACTTAGAATGAAGGTTGGAGGAGTGCTCACAGATGGAAAGGCAAGAAATAATGATCATGTTGTAACCCTCGAAGATGTACCCCAGAACCTGCAATGGAAGTTTTCATGTGTTTTATCTAATTTAATTCTCACAACTGTCTTAAGAGGTAGGAACTACTATCACTCGCAGAATGCAGATGAGGAAACTGAGGTTCAGAGAGATTCAGTAAATTGCCTGAAGTAGCAAAGCTAGAAAACGGTAAAGGCAGGACTTATTGTCATTCCTGGCTTGCTCCAAAACCTATGCTCTTTCCACTATGTCACTTGCCTCTCCCTGACTAGGAGACATCTCTTAATAGAATGAGGCTGGCTTAACTACCATTCATCTTGACACATAAAGAGTACATTACAGCAGAGACTTTCTAATCCTATAGTAGGACCTTATGATCTTACAACATTAGGATTCCTCTAGTTAGGCAGTCAGGATGGAACTAAACTAAACACCTGTCCCCATGCATGCAACCCACTGTCTTTGACTTCATCCCTCCCTACAACTGACTGACTTCAGTATTGGCGCTCCTTCTGCTATCATGAATTTTTCATGCAAAGGCTGTGAGAGAGCAAAGCAGGCTGCCTCAGGGCATCACAATTCCAATAACTGAGAACAGCTCACACCCACCCAAATCGCACTTCCACTTTTGCATTTAACAGACATGGCTATTTGTTTTTGCGTCACTGGTGTAGAAAGTTTCACTTACCAAAGAGGCATGTTTTGTTCACACCTCTGTATTAAATAATAGAGCCTGATTAGGCCAGAACAGCAAGCTAGAAGTTAAGTTCACACGTTCTTTTTTTATTGTGGGTTTTTATGACTCTGTAATTCACAGTTCATTGTGAGCTTAGAGATTTGCATGGCCTGTTTTCTAAAATCTCTTCTCTCCTCCAGACTAAAGGGAAGATAGGAAGGGGTTTTTCCCCAAATCTTTTCAGTGACCATTAAATGTAAAATCCCCATGGTGGGGAGAGGCAGGGGGAATGTATTTGGGGTTGAGCAGAAATATAGATTCTCTTAGAGTGAGAACACTTAGCTTGCTGTGGATAACTTTTGTCATTTCTAAAATTTAAGAAAGGAGAAACTAAGAAGTCACTAGCAAGAAAGTGCTGAGTGGAAGTCCTAAAGTCAGAGTATGTTTTCTCTCTATCTCTTTCTCTCTCTCTGACTCTGGCTCTACTGTTGACTGTTTCTGAGTGTTTTGCTCCCCTTGGGTTATCAATCTCTCTCTCCTTTAATCTAAACATATCTTTCTTTCCTGTCTCATAAAAAGATGTGACATTGGTGATTCACTCCTAAGTCTATGCTTCCCTCTTCAGTCAATTCCGGCCAGATGCTCAAGCTGGAATGTGGGGTGTCATTCTGGCCCCTGTCACTATATTCCCCCTATATCCAATCAATTACCAGGTGATTCTCCCTTCTAAAAAGCTCTCCAATCCATCTCTACCTCCACTGTCACCATCCAAATCCAGGCCATTGTCTTTGCACCCTTGACTATTGCAACTCCCTTGCTGGAATGCTAGCACTCCAGTCTTGCCCCTTGCAGTTCATTCCCCATACCATGTCTAACACTGACAATAAATACAGCTATCATTTATTGAGGGTCACCATTTACTTACAGGCTAAACACTCTATTCATTATCTTGTTCAACCTCACAGAAACCCTATAATTATTTCCACATTACAAATGAGAAAATTGGGGCCTGGAGAGATTAAAGAAGTCATGCTGAAGTCACGAAATTTGCATGGGGTAGATAGAGGTAATGTATTAGAATTAGAACCCATGCTTGTCTCCATACTCCCTTATCTGTGTCATGACACGTACCATACTTAGTGACATTCCATTAACATGTTTTTCTCTTTAATTAGATTCTGTGCTCCTTGATATCAGTATCTACATTATCTCTTAACTCCTTCTAGCCCTTCTAACTCCTTACACACTTGGGGCCCAAGTGATCCTTCTCTGAAACATCATGCTATTCCCTTGCTTAAAATCCTTTTCTAGTTCTTCATTGCTTTTAGTATTAAATCCAACCTTCTCACCATGGCCAAATGGCTATATCTATTATGGCTCCTTTGTCCTTAAATATCACTCCACGCTAATTCTCTTCCTCATTCTCTATATTTCAGCTACACTGAGATGCTTTCAATTCCTCAAACAAGCCAAGCTTTATTTTCCTGATAAAGGATTCTGCATATGTTGTTCCTTCTGCCTGAAATTTTCTTCCTCCAAATATTCACGTCTGTTTCCTTTAATCTTAGTTTGTAGGTAAGAAGAACTTTACCACCAGCCTTATGTAGGTAATCTTACAAATCATTACATACACTCACACTCTCTATTCTTTCTTTTTGTAGAATCTACATTTTTAATTTAGGTGTTTTTTTAAATTACCTATTGGCTATTTCACCCACTATGCTGTTAGCTTCATTGGGGCCATAAAAAAGATTTGTTTTGTTTATCACCATGTAGCAAGGGCCTAGCCTGCTATGTAGTAGGCGTTCAAAGAATATTTGCGTAATTGGATTGAATTGCCTACACAATATTTCAAAGCCCTTGTTTATAAGCATTAAACAAAAATAAAAACCTTGATAAATTAAGTAATACATTTCTGCTGTTTATCTAAAATGTTGTTTTAAAATGTAGGCTATTAGCATCAATATTTCCTGCACCTTCCCTTTTCAACTCAGAAAAGCCATGCCTGTAGAGGCCTGAGAGAAAAATGAAAGAACCAATTTAGAAATCACATGTGGTCAGACATATCCTATAGGTAGAAACCAGCACAGTTCAAGTTCTCAGAGTACGATCAACACTATTATATGGACCTCAGGAAGAATGTAGTCCTTGTGATCTGCTTTCAAAGGCATCTCAGCCTTTTATTTTTGTTCACTATCATTCTGTGAAGGGTATACCTGCCTCATCTCATCAGCAAATGACTTCCTACCCACCTACACATGGGACCTGGAATGGGAATGAGGAGGCTGCATCTGTCGTCACTAAAGCTCTCCACACTTGGAAAGTAAACACAAAGGATAAATAATTATGCCTATTTACTTTTCTCCATGGCTTTCTAAGGACTCTGTCTGCCTTGGAATACATCACTCAATCAGCACATATTCAATAAGCTCCATCCTATGAAACCTGTGCTAGGTTCTGTGGAGAATATAGAATCATTCACCGTGGTTTCTGTTCCTGAGAATCTTCTTATCTTTTGGAGAAAACATTAAATGTATCTCCAACGCCATAATCAATGCATGGCAAGAATTGAAATGAATGGCACAGGTGATGAGAAACCCTAAAGTTAGCACAACATCATCCCTGTGAGATAAGTAGGATAGATACCAGTCCTAGTTTAGCTGATAAATAGATGTATTCAAGAAAAAGATTCAATACCTTTTTCAAAGTCACAGGGTTAGGTTATGGTGAAACTAAGATCAGAAACCAGATTTGTAGACCTCTTGCTTAATGCTCTTCTCACCATGTCAGGCTGCCTCTATCAAATTCTAGGAGATAGACCACCTTGAGCCAGAGAAGATGGTACTTTTCCTGAGCCAACTGCATTCTCCTATTGGTCCCTGTAGGGACAGGGTTGGAGAGAAAAATAGAGATGATGGCTAGGTAAAAAATAAAGTTTACTTCACCTGAATTATCAATTGTTCTCCTTAAATCCTAGAAGCCCTTCAGAACTGGAGTCAAGTCCCGTCTCTTCAAGAAAGTCTTCCATAAGCATGCCAGCCTGCACTGGTTGTCAATATCATTCACCTGGGACTTAACAATTGATGATTTCATGCAGCAAGCAGACATTCTGCTATGTGTGTATTTATATGCTAATTGCTGAGGATGGTGAAGTGGGGTGAGAAATTCCAGAGAAGAAAAATACATGGTTGTTGCCCTCAATAAGTTTACAGTCACTTAGGAAAGATAGACACAAAAATAACTAACCATAATAGATTTCAAAAATGTGCCATGCAAGAAAGATAATGAAGACATTCCTGTGGAAGCAGAAATAAAGCCTGCATAGAAGAAGATTGGAAGTGTGTAACTTGAAGGTTAAATCAATTTTCAACAAGGAGTTTTGGGGGTGGGTGGGGTGTAGGAGAACAAAGGATGGAAAAGGGATCCCAGGGATGAATCAATAACATTTAAAGGTCCCAAAGTACAAAAATAAATGCCTTTAGAAAAAGGAATAATAGGAGTGTTATCCCAGCTGGAGAATTGGGTGAGATGGTGGGGAGGGTGGAATGGGAAGTGAGAGTGAGGGAAAATAGTGAAAGGGAAAAGAGATTATAAAGGTAGATGGGGCCAGATCATATAAGACTTTGAATGTATTTCATGGGGAATTATTGAAGGATTCTGAGAAGAGATGTGATATTACCATACTTGGGTTTTAGAAAGATTACTCTGGCAACGATACTAAAGATGGATTGGAAAAATGGGATGTAGGGAATCCATATCAGTTGAAAGTAAGTAGGGTGACCAATAGTCCAGGTTTGCCTGGGACTAAGGGTTTCCTGGAACATAGGATTTTCAGGTGTAAAACTGTGACAGTCCAAGACAAAAGGAATAGTTGGTCACCATACTGCTACAGCAGTAAAGGTGATAAAAAATAAGCTCTGAAATTGGTATGGCAAGAAGATTAGAATTTAAAGTAAAAGTCATATACGGAACTGACAAGCTTTGAGGACTGTCTAAGGAGTGAAAAATAATTTCCTTTATAAAATATGTGAAATGTTATAAAAAGGTATCACAGTTTTGTACTCTTCCAGAACAGCGTCATATGTAGCAGCTAAAAGCATTCACTTCTCCTGACAATCTAAACCAATTTACCTTGTTTTTATTCTAGTACTTTCCAAATTTATACTCTCTGTCAAGCTTCATCAATTCCTGACTCTTCAAATAGTTTTCTTTCTCTAACATAATCACTGAGCTTCACTGCAAATTACACCATACTAACTTTCACCATACATTCCCAGAGATCTTAAATGTGTAAATGTCTCCATTTCTCCTAGTCTCATCTAGCAACCTTCCTCATCTTACTTCCTCCCCTAACCAGCCTAGATTAAGTAGTTGGTCAAATTAGCCACTCTCACACAAGCACCCACAACTTCCGTGTTCCCCATTCTTCTGCTGCATCAGCCTGGTAAGGCCCTAACCCCAGATCAAGTCCACAACCCTTTTTTCTCTTACTATCCAAATAGCTGAATGATCCTATTAAAAACACCAGAGTCTATTTGGAATGGTAGAACTAGAAATTAATGATCTGCAGCCTAAGATTTTTTTTTACTCCATCCTCTTTTTGCATGCACCTGATTAGTTAGTATCTTCTCCTATTCCTATGGGGGCTGTTCAGCACCTTCACAACACTACTAAAGCTTCCTCCTCTCTCCTGCCCTCCCATCTCCCATTTCCCATCTTCCTCAGCAGATGTTATTCCCCTTTGCCTCAAGAGAAAATTGAGGATATTGGGTAAGACTCAATCAACTTCATCCATTCTCCCTTCCCAGTATACACCATCTTATTTACAGCTGTACTCCTCTTACTTCCCAACACAATTGTCCCTCCCGTTGCTCAAGATGAATTCCTACACTCCTCTTATCTTTCTCAGGATCCTCTTTCATTAATTGTTCCCTTTCACTCGATCTATTTCAAGATCCGTTTCTGCCACTCTTAGATCATCATGCTGTCGTCCACTCTCAGCTATACCTTTGTTATCCAGCGCCTCCACTCCCAAAATAATTCTTCTCTTGTCTATGCACCTTATTCTGTTAATAGCTCTTTGTCACCTTCCTTTTCTTCCTAAATAAGCTTTTCACAATAGTTGTTCACACCAAATTGTTTTATTTTCCTCATTTTATATCCATTCTTTGATGCACTTCAAGGTGGCATACATACCCTCACAACCTCACTTTAGTCCCTAGTTCTGTGGTTGTGAACCAACCAAATAGAGATAACAGCAGAATTCTCACTGCCTCCAATATCAACCTTACAGAAGTAAATCCTCTTGGTGCCTCCAGTTTGTTGTGCTCTGTCCAGGGTACACACTACCTACCCCAAAGGTCAGGACCATAGTGAGGAATGCCTTTTGTCTTGAGAGATGAGTCTGTTGACAGGGTCCACAAACTCTAGAGGGAAAGACCAGAACAGAGTTATAATCTAATAAGCAGGGGAAAAAAAATAGCCACCGTCTCTGAGCTAACAAGATTTACTTTCAAAGTGTGGCTCTAAGGATGTTCCTGATAATGAAATTGGAATAAAGTTGTGACTGAGACTTCATCAAATGCCTTTCTCCCTGGAGCCCATCTCAGAGGTCACTGTTTTATTCCTCTCTCAAGGTCCCATCTCACCTCTCTTTTCTTTTTACTGGGCAACCCTAGTCACACTACCCTCTTTTCTAACTCCTACTGAATTTATGGACTGTACTATGAGAATGTCATCTCTCTGAGAGAAGATTCTTTATCTTAGACTTACGTATCATTCACTTTGCTTAGCAAAGGGTTAGGCTTGCAGTGGGGGATCATTTCATATGCATTGGTTTATAAAGGTAAGAGTATGGAGAATAAGCAAAAATTATCAGAGCCATAGATAATTTTACTTCTAAACTGTCGCCCATAAGCTACTCTTCCAAGCAGCAGTCATAATCTTTCTCTTTCTGCTATTGAGGAAAATGTAATCAAAGTAAGGATAATAGGATTGAAGTCTAAGAAATCTGCGTACCTGATAGTATCAAAGTCTGTAATTTCAGCTTTCTATTTGAAACCCAATAGGAACCCCATAAGCTTAAGTGCTAATTTGATCATTTAACACTTTATTTTGTGGAAATAACTATATGTTATCTCAGAACACAAAGGTATGTCAGATTTTTAAATACGATTCATTGGAGGTGAGTCCAAGATCTTCGTAGGTACCAATACCATCTACACAAAGAAAGCTGCTCTTCCCAACCAACTAACTAAATTTTGTGGTTTCACAAACGTACAGCTAAAGTGAGCTTATATTATTATGACATCAGAATTTATATCAGACTCCTGAGTCCCAGTGAAATATAAATCCAAGAAGTCTCCACATGCACCCTGTCAGTCACTGGCTAAGTCCTAATCATATGTTATCTCTAATTCTTGTAAGAACTCTGAGTTTATTATTATAATACTCCTTTAAAAATCGGAAAATGGTATCACATCAGGATTAAATGACTTTCTTAAAGTCAAAGAGTTATTATTATTTCAGTTGTAATAAAGCTCTTCACAAGAAGAGAAAGCTGAAATTCTTACCTGAACAACTAACTTGTTGCATGGGCAGAAAGATTTTTTAAAGTGACATTTCTGTGAATAAGACTGTTTCTCAAAGATGAAGAAGCTATTTTTAATTCTAGATCTAACACTTCTATGCCTATGCACTATGCATATATGGCAAATTACAACCCACCAGTTGTCAGGGTGGGATTATATCAAAACTAAGGATCTTTATGGAACTTTGTCTATGAACCTATGTCATAATAGATCTGTAGATGGAAGTACAGGAACAGTTTCTTTATAATAGGAGTGAGCTGAATGGGACAAGACTTGTTGTAGGATAGGGAAGACTCAAAAACAGTAGAACATATTGAAATAATACTAGATTTAAAGCTAAGAAATGTGGATTCTAGTAACTATTAAAATACTAACTCTGTGTTGCTCTGATGAGGACTTTCCTTTCTGTAAGTTTCATTTTCCTCATTATTAAAATAATACAATTTTAACTAGATGATTTTTAACTCTCCAGCTTTAATTTGGCATGTCTTTAAGGGCACTGCCCCTCTCAATCACTGCCCCTAACTAATACCACCAGCACTGCCAATGCTACCACTAATGCAGCCACCATCATCTTGACCCACACACTGATTATACTTTACAAACCATTATATATATACCACTAATCATTATTAAAAATATATATTGTGAATAATCAGGTCAGGTGATATAATTCCCATTTTACAGATGGGGAAACAGAGGCTCAAAAAACCCCACAATTTCCTGAAATATATATATATATATATAAAACTGATCTCATTTACCTGAAGATGTAAATTTAGCAAGTCAGGAGAGTACAACTTAGGCTCTGGGATTAATGTGACTGTTCTTTCCCTGGTACCAATTCTACAAATCTTCTTCATCTCACTTTTCCCTGTCTTTTCACTTCTCATCATTTAGTCACTAGCACCACTAAGTGAATATGTTTATCAAATTTACTTCTCCTATTTTCTTTGATGATAGGGCCAACCTGTGGGCCTGTCATCCTGAGAAGAGAAGGAGAAATTTACCAGAGAAGGAAGGTTGCTGAAAGGGGCCCCTCCCCCACTCTAGGGGACAACTTTTACATGCCATCTGGGAACTTAACTTGCTTTGCCTCAGCCTGCCTTTTTCTTCTTCTTTTAAATCCTAAAGTCCCACATGAATTGCCCAAGCCAATCTGATCTTCACAACCAGGGTGTTCTTCATTCAGGCACTTACAACCAGAGCCAGAGTAGCAATTAGAAATGGAAACTCTACTTTTTCCTGAATAAATTCAAATCAATTCCAAATAACCCCGTTTGACATCAGAAACACAGAGATGTGGCTATATTCTACAAGTCTAGACATTTTTTTTTTTGTTAAATAGAGGAAGTGAAAATTATTTTTATATTTAAAATGAATTAAAGCAAGTAGGCTATTCACAAACTAACATCTTAACATTTGAATTTGAAGTTCCATGCATAAATCTTAGTTGGACTTTAATCATTTAGGAAGAAGATCTAATAAGATATCATTCATTTTTTTCAATTAGAGCAGCATTTTATACGTGGAAAGAGTCATGCTTTTTGGACAGACCTGGGATCATATCATGACTCCGTTATTGGCCCTCTAGCCTGAAACAATTCATTTTATATTGCTGTTTTTCAGTTTCCTCATTTTTAAAATTGGGATCATAGTTCCTGCCACACAGATTTTTGTGAAGATTAAATGGAAATGTACGTGAAAGTCCCTATTTTCATGTCTGGTACAGAGTAAGTATTGAATAAATGTGAGTTCATTTCCTCTTTACTTATACACAGAGTTATCTCTCAGGGCCTTTGGTAGGATCTTCTATTTTTCTGGGTTTAGAAAATCCCCTAAAAACGTAGTTGTTAGAGATGACTAGAAGATCTAGAACAGTAATTCTTAAAGAGGAAGGGTGGAAAGAAAGCATTACTTAAAAACAAAAAAAAATTATTGTAATAAATATATTTGGAAAACAAAATTATTGTTCCTATAATACAAACTGCTAAAGTACAGATCTACAAAGTCTTCTTGGCTGCTGGGCACTTTGTGCTTGGAAATTCTCAGTGTAGTGGAGCAGGTTTTTTTATAAGTCCAGAGTCTAGTTCCTAAGAAGGCAAGTCCACAATAACCTTGTAGCAAAATTTTTATGTTTCTCAAAAGGAACCTTGGTTTTAAAAGATTCAGAAATGATGATTGACCATCATTGTCATTGTGGAAATCAAATTTCAGAATATTTTCTCTTTTTTTGTTGTTTCTTTTTATCATTTAAAAAAAGGGAAATTACTTACAAAACACTTGCCTGCGGTCTAAAAGTTGAAGTTCTTATGATAACATTATCTGAAAGGAGTATATTGGCCATTGAGAAAAGGTACTGGGCTCTCTTGGAGATCTGAACTGCATTTCCAGAAGGTCCTCTCTAGTTATATTTCCCTATTATGGCCCCATTATTCACAACTTCATGACATGTAACTCTTCTCAAATCATTGTATTGTTAGGAAGGAAATTAGAGACCATCTATTCCAAACCCTCCACCATTATTATTGAGAGCCATAGAAATAAAACAACTTGCCCAAGGACACACAATGAGTCATTGGCAGAACTTGAACTATAACCCAGACTTTTGGACTCTTTCTATATCGTTGTATCTACTTCATCACTCTACCTGTGATGCACGTGAACCAATAAAGCTTCCCTGAAAAATATACTGATCTGGAGCATAAAGTAAACCTTTTGGCCACAAGTTTTAAAATAAAGCATAGACCCCCTGCTAGCCATTGCCCTGATTGTTGGAAGGGCTGCTTTCACAACAAATAACTCTATTCTCTTTACTAGAGCCATTACAGAGGGCTATAGATAGCCTAATCTGCCTTGTAAGACCGTAACTTACTTATCTCAATCACAAACCACCTAGAAATATGCTCATTTATTTGGTGTCTTATGCTTTCCCACTGCTAGGATTTGTGTAGTCTGTACAACTTGAACTCAACAACTTTCCCAGTTGGGCCCAAAAAGGAACTACATTTGACCAAAAAAGGATCTGCGTTCAACAGGAACCATTGCAAAAACAATTTCCCCAAATGTATGACCTGATTCTCAGTATAGTTTAAACCATTTTCCACCTCAGTATACCTGTATATCACCTACTTCCGTCAGTGACTAATTTTACTGTGTTTCAATTGCTAAGAGACAAGCTCTCCAGTTAATAGAAATGGTAATGACACCCCACATCCATTTGAAAAGGCAAACTAAAAATATCTTCCTTTGCAGGATTCTTGGAACTGAGCTTACTTTTCTCCAAAAAGTTTTTATCATTCTATCTAGACTGATCCTGGTACCAACTGACTTGGCACAGTCTCCCTTCAGGGACTCCCCAGTTGGAAGTCTCCTTTTGACTTAGTCATCTTAGCTCAGAACTAGAGAGGTGCTAACACTCAGAGTAATAACAATAATCACTGAAAAGATAAGTGCCTCACTTTGGGGGCCTGCTATTCAGCAGAGCTGAACTTGAGTCAAAAATTAGTTTTCAGAGGATTAATGAACTCCTCTGAATAGACTCTGAAATCATCTAGGATATTTTCTTCTTTCCTAACCTAAAAACCAGCAGAATCACAAATACATTTACAGTTATCCTCTGGGACATGCAGTCTGCTGTAGGGGAAAGGAACATGAGTTAGAAGACACAGGTCTGAGTTCCAGCTCCACCACTAACTAGCTGGATGACCCTAAGTGTCTTCATTTCACTGGCTCTCAGTTTCCCCATCTGTATTATGAGGGATTTGGATCCCTAAGGGACCTTTCAGCTCCAAAATCTATGATCTGACTTTCTTTCCTTCTCTCCTGGAAGAACTTACTATTTGTCTCAGTATCTTTGAAAGCTAAATTTACCAAAGCAGGATCTTATTATATCTAAAAACCTTTATTTATCATACAACTAGACAAACTATACAGAACAAAAATTCAAATTGTCTTTTATTGGCTAAATATTTCAAGTTGTCCCAATGAGTCTCACTGAACATACTCTTTTTTTACCACTTTATGCCATCCTCCCTGATCCCACTTTACAAAAAGCCCTCATGAAAGAGTAATCTTTATCACAGACTCCATGCTCCTGGCATAATGGTGGAGACTGATGGCATTAACACTAATTTTGGACTCTAGTCAGACTCCTTTTGTAAGAAATCTGAGATGAGAAACTGGGGACCATTTCAATTTAGACATTGTCCCCACATCTGCCTCTGTCCTGATCTTCATGCTCCCACTCATCCTCCCACATGGAACCACCATTTCCCAGGTGCTAGGCGGTAACTTACCGTTGAGCTCAGCCGGGACAAGCACTCTTGTTTCTTTGCAGGGAGCTAGGGGTAAAAAGTCTAACTCTAGCGACACGGATCCTGTTGATAACTGGTACATTTGTTGTTGAAAGAGGAAGTTGAGTGCATCTGGTGTCTCACCACAGAAACCTTATTTGCACAAACCAAAGGTAAGTCCCTTTAGCAAATGATGCCAGTCAAGTTTTATTTTTATTTCATTGGTGCAGAGAAATTGAAAGAGCAGGGAGTCAAAGGCTATGCACAAACAATGACTATATACCAGCCTTCCTCACTGTTCCCCACCCTGTCTCCTTCCACCACAACCCACATACATATCTGTCTCACTAGATTCCAGTAGGTTTCATGGCAATATGGGATTTGCTGGCAAAATCTGAAGAGTGTTTACCTAGGAATAAGAAAGCTGCAGCTCCTTCAAGCCTCAAGTGCAAAGACTAAGGAAACTTCAGGAATATGAGTCAAAATTAGCAATAGCAGGACAACCTTTGCTTAAGCTGGTCCCTCTATCTGGGGAAACAGCTTCTCCCTTCTCTTAACCCCTTCACCTTCAGTACATATTTTAATCTGTAGTTTAATTATTTTGTACATTTATTATCGCCTTACCATACTGCAAATTTCTTGAGGGAAAATACCATGTCTGACTCATCTCTGTATTCCCAATTTGTCCAGCACAAGGCACTTTCATAAATGGTTATTGAATGAATAAGTGACGGAATGAATGCATAAATAACTGTTCAAAGAATGCATGATTAAATAAGTTAACAGTACTGATTACAGTGTCTCCTGGCAGTGTACTAAGATTCTGGTCTTTCTATGCAATATTTATGGGGCCTTCACAAGTATGCAAAGGAAGAACATACACTTGAGGATTACAGTGTCAGCCAAGTCTGAGAGTACTTCTGAGAAGCAAGGCTTACAAAGCAGCACAAATCTCTGTGGGCATCTAAGGGAACTACATTCAGAACCCAGGGCCTGAAGCTGCAAAGAGCCATCTGGGTAATAACTGTAGCAAAGAGAAAAATGAATTACTATGAGTTAGGTCAAAGAGTAGAATTTCAGTTCACGGATAAGACTGATTAAAGAAGGGAATGGATGACAACATTCTTGTGGGAGGGCAACCTGGATCTGCAACAAGCTCTCCTTATAAAACTAGAACCATTTGAGAACTAGGTGAAGCCACACCCAATATTCAGAGATGTCCAGTACAAATTACAAGGGCATCAAGAGATGCAAAAGAGAAGCTTTTAGCATTGAAAACTGAAATCTTGGGCTGATTGATGAAAAGGCCATGACTTGTGAAGACTACCAAATGGAGAGGGTACTCATCCTCGCCGATATATGTCAAATGAAACAAATTTGACCTTGCAGTCCCCTTCCTAATTCTTATTTCATATATTTATCCAGCTTCAATCTGTTGTTAATTTAGTTTTCTGACTTGGCATTCTTTCTGAAAAGAGAATACATTGACTAGCCAACACATATCTCAGTCCATTTGGCAGTTCTGTTTCTCACTATAAATTACTAGATTGACTTTCTGGTACAAATCTGTCCCTTATGAGTTTGGACAGTGTGAGCCAGTATTACTAAGGCCTGATTGTTCTGTAGAAAAAAAGGAAGTTCCAGACCTATTGAGCTTTGAAGCCAAACTCTGGGATAGAGGAAGAAGAGGAACTCTTTCCTGGCAATTAGTTATTGTCCCACCTTTATCTTACAGACAACATCTTAACATTTCTAGAAGAAAGCCTGCCAGTTTACCTCATTTCTCTCTTGTGTGCAGGTATCCTCTCCTGTCATTGACCCTAAAAAGGGAAGAAGAAGAAAATCAGAAGTCAGTGTCTCAATTCAGACAAAGAAAAATTTCAACTCAGGTTAATTTTGAGCTTTAATTAGAAAAAGCAAGTCTGTGGACAAGCCAAACAAGCCGATAATTTAACAATCACCTCCAATTACTTTTAGAAGAGAGCCTTCTAGTTATTAGGTATGACTGATGGTCTAGGAATCATTATCACCTCAAACTAAGCAATAAATACCCTAGTCATAAGAGTAAAAAGTAGTGCAGCTTTCCCACTTTGCCCACAATTTAAATTCTTTCCTTCTTTCTATTTATCTCCTCGATGTTTACTTTAACTGATGGATTATATTAACATCTTCCCTAGGCTGGGGAAAGTTTATGATTTGGTGCTTCAAAGGCTTTAGTTCTCTCTAACAGTAGCAGTAGATGAGGCATGATAGCTATTGTTGAGGACATTTTTTATTACCATATATTGTGTTTTCTGGAAGGACCCAAGAGTTCTATCTGATCTTAGTATCTGGAAAAACTATGTTTTTTCCCAAACAACTTATCATATTTGTTTCTTATGGGTAATGATTTTGTAACTAGTCATCTGTCTCTTTTTACATAGTCTGCTGAAAAACCTGGAACCAATTTAGAGTCTACTAGTAGCAAGTGTGGAGATCTTTTTATGGTATGCTTTTTTAGATTAGCCTCTATCATGGTTCAATTTTTATGTTCTTTCCCACTTTTAATTTATATTATTTTGCTATATAATGCATCATTTTAAACCATCTTTGATACTTTCTGGAACATTAGTAGAGTCCAAAAGTAAAAAAAAATAAAGGATGGAGTGAACTGTGATCTCAATTCTTTTTCAAATACATTGTTTTATATAAACTGTCTTCAAGTGTTCTCCATGTCTGATTATATATCCACAGAGTATTTCTGTGAATTTTTGGAAGTAATCATTTAACAAATACTTAATGAACTACAAAAATTATCAATGTCTTTAATGTTGAGTAGAAGAGATGGGATTCAGAAGAAGAAAATATGTTTCCTATCTTCCAAGAGTCTAAAGTTTAAGTGATAAGTTAAGCACTCATAAAAGAGTTATAAAATATGGCATAGTATATTATTTGCTATTAAATTATGTGGAAGTTAAGAAGACGAATTCACTAGGGGCTAAACCTGTTTCAGAGGGTTTGCTGGTCTTTATTCAATAGGCAAGTTGTGGATTAAGCTGTGTTTCCCAATGAATGGAACATGTCCCACTGGAGGAATACAAAGGCTTTTGCATTTTAGGTGGTACAAGGAATAGCTTTTACAAAAAGTTTCAAGTTATATATTTGTTTCAAAGCTTTAAATATAATAAAATTACCTATTAAATCTATGAATTTATGGAAAATATTGCTTAAGAGAAGGCTAAAATAGGTAGCTAAGTTTCAAAAACTGTGATTATTTAAAAACATACATGCACAAAAAAACCCACAAAAGTATAGAGGACAGGCAAACAGCAAAAACTGTGAAGGAACATTTGAATGTCTGAAGTCTGAAAAATTTCAAGACAATGAAGAAGGCAAAGGATTCTAGGCCAGGAAAGGAATATTGCCAAGGACATGAATAGAGAATAAATATGACTGTTCATGTGATAGTGAAGACAAAATTTTATCTGATACATAAGGCACGTTAGTAAACAGTGGGAAAGAAGCTTGGAGGGTGGAACCATATAAAGAAGGTCTTAGAGTATAGAAACCATAGAATGCAGGAGGTTATTAAAGGGATTTAAACATAGCTGGAAAAGGGAAATGTTAACTCTTATTTATGACAGTACTTCATAAGTACTGTCACCATTCTAGGAAATTTACACACATCACCTCATTTCATCCTCCAAACAATCCTATGGAGTAGGTACTAACATTAATTATAACCCATGTAACCCATTAGTGAATTGAAGCACAGAGAGGATAATTAACTTTCCTAAGATTATGCAACAAATAAATGAGAGAGGCAAGGTTCAAATCCACATATGTCTGGTTCTGGAAGCCATATTGTTTCTACTACATCCTGAAAGATCACTGTGACAACAGTGCACAGAATGGATGGCAGAAGGAGGCAAAATGGGAGGTAAAGATCCCTTTTAGAAGATATACCAGTAATTTAAGTTTGAGATAATAGGAGCATGGATTAGGACAATGACAGTAAGAATGAAGATAGAGGGCAATTTCAAAAGAATTATTTTTCTCAAAAGAGCCCTTAAAACTGTAATCAGTAAAATGAAAGAGGAAATGAATCTTCACAAGTAGGAATAAATCAGTCTTTGAAGGGGTTCAATTTTTGCATATTTTCCATTAAAACTTTGTTCAGCCATATACTGAAGTATCTTCCTCCAGTGAGAAAAACATACTTTGTACCTGGAAGAGGTTCATTTTTCTGAACCCCAGAGGCTTATTTTAGAGACATCTAGCAACACATAGCCACTTATTGAGGCCCCTTGTGAGGAACCTGCTGTCCTAAAAAGGAAAATGATTGCTCTCACATGATATCAATTTCTAAAGAAATGTATTTCAGAGTATTTCCATAAGAAGAGTTTTTTTTTATTTATTAGAAGAGGTTTTATTCAGCTAAATAACTAGCCATTAGGGTCTACATGTTGTGAATTAACCAAAATGATGAGATTTCACCAAATTCTGGGTGATCTTCCTGGCTCCATTTAGCCAAAGCGATAAATAATGAGCAAGAGGCCAAGGGATAAGGCCAAGAAAGATATACCTTGCCTCAATTTTGTATTTCAAGAATTTGTAAATTAGACTTACTGACTTCAAACATGTCACCAGGATTGATCATTGGGAAAATGGTAAAATAGGGGGAGACTATATTTGCACCACACCTTCCCTTATTAGCCTTTTTCTTCAGCTCTCTCCCTAAGGATATGATGCTTTTCCAGACCCTCTGGGTTCTTTCTGTTACAAAAGAATGTGGTCTAAGTAGATCCTGCATACTAACATAGGAAGGATTTTTAGGAAGAGGGCAGTGTAAACAACAGAGAATGGATTCCACATGTCTGGAATTACAAATACTGACAAGCAACAGAAGATTCCTCAAATCAGCACTCCTCAAATCAGTAAGAATTTTGGTCTCACACCACTTTACATTATTTAAAATTATTTAGGATCCAAAAGAACTTTCATTTATGTGAGTTATCTATTGATATTTGCCATATTAGACATCAAAACTGACGTTTTAAAAAAATACTCTTTCAGTAATTCATTAAAATGATACATTTATTACGTTAAAAATAACACATTTTATAAAATATAACAAATTTACAAAACTAGTGAGAATAATAACATTGTTTTACATTTTCCTCCCAGT